AATAAAATATTTTTAAATATCATAACTACTACATGGAAAATATATGTACATGAGTAACTTTTGTACTTTTAAAGTACTGTAAAAGATAAAGATAAAATAATAATTGGGAAAGAGGAAAGTAAACTGGAGGAAATAAGATTTGGGTGTAATGTGACATTTATTTTAACCTTGAGGGAGGGATAAACTTTGGAAAGTTGGGGTTGGGTAGAGTAGGTAAAGGTATTCCATGATGAAGAATGTCAAAGCAGCAGGAATAGGAGTCTGAGAAATAGTTCAGACTACCTGCATAGGTCACTGGATAAAAGAACATTTTAGTTAAGATTTATTGGTATTTTATTGTAAGTCAGATATCACATGAAGTTCTATACAAAGTATTCATTTGAATCCTCAAACTCTTATCTATCATGTACCATTTCCTTCTTTTTTAAAGTTTGTTTTGTTTATTTATTTATTTGAGAGAGAGAGAGAGGAGAGCAGAAGTAGGAAAGAGGAGAGGGGAAAGTACAGAATATCTAAAGTGGGCTTTGTGCTGTCAGCACAGAGCCTCTCGAACTCAAAAACTGTGAGATCATGATCTGAGCAGGAGTCAGATGCTTAACCGACTAAGCCACCCAGGTAACCCCAGTTACTATTATTTTTGATGTTCCTTGAGATTAAATAATATGCTTATAATTATATAATAATACTTCATGGAGCTTAGTTGATCCCAGCTGTCACTAAATCCGCACAATCTTAAACACTGTAGTAAATTTTCAGGCATTGGTTTACTAAAAATGTGTTTATTCTTCTTCTGCCAACGGTAATTTTTATTGGGCATAGACTTTTAGGTTGGTAGTTATTTTTTTTTTCCATCATAGGAATATTGGTTATTGGGTTCTTGCTTCCACTACTGGGAAGTGAGATGTCAGAATTGGCTCTTTGAAGATAATCTGTCTTCTTCAGCTGCTTTTAAATTTTATTCTCCTTCTTTCATACTCCCTGAAAGAGTTTTCTTTGTACTCATCCAACATAGGCCTGGAGAGCTTTCTAAGTCAGTGATTACTTACTGTATTTTGCTATTTTTAGACAATTCTCAGTAATTTTTCAAATATTGCTCTTACTTAATCTCTCCCACTCCTCTTTTTTTGGTAACACAATTAAACATATATTAATTCTTCACAATATTTCCCATATTTTTCATTTCCTTCGTGCCTTCCCTATCCTTTGTAATTTATGCACCTCAACCTGGATATTTACATTTAATCCCCTCTGTTAAGATTTCTAATATTAAATTAATGGATTAAATTATTAAATTTCAATTATTATGTTCATTTTTTCTTTTTTAAATTTTTAATGCTTATTTTATTTTTGAGAGAGAGAGAGGGAGACACAGAATCTGAAGCAGGCTCCAGGCTCTGAGCTGTCAGCACAGAGCCCCATGTGGGGCTCAAACTCACAAATATTGAGATCATGACCTGAGCCAAAGTTGGATGCTTAACTGACTGAGCCACCCAGGCACCCCTCAATTATTATTTTCAAATGTGCATCATTCTTTTGACTCTATTATAGCAGGTTTCTAGTGGAATTCTCTATCTTGACTTGTATATTTTTTATCACATTAATCACAGTTATTTTAAATGTCCAATAAGCACAATATATGAGGAGGCTATTTTTATCATTTTTCTTTTGCATTGTAATCATCAGCATTCCTTTAATTTTTTTTTTTAATCAAATACCAGACATGACTGAAAAGCTCTAATGTTAACTTCCTCCATAGAGCACTTAATTTTCCCTGGCAGGCAAATAGAAAATGGATACATGACTTCATTTCTGTTGAGTAGAGTTTTAGCATGATCTGGGCTGGGATTTTTGCTGGTTTGTTCTTCCTTTTAGATGGTGGCCCTCTGAGGTGTCAAATGAAAGCCAGAAGTGTTTAGCAGACCCATTCCATCTTTCAGGCTGCAACTCCAACCTCTAGCTTCCCTGCACTACAAGACCACTAAATCTTTGTTGTTAACTCTAGCTACTTTTGGCTTGCACTGGGGACAAATGCCCCCAAAAGAGTATTCATCAAAGTATGGGCTCATTTGCTCTCTTTTCAGGGACATATGTCCTTGATAAAGCTGAATACCAATATTTCCTTTCCTGAAATGGGAGATTGTGGTAAGCTCCAGCTACTTCTTTCTGCTTAGCTTCCATTTACCTGAATTTAAATAGGTAAATGCCCTGCTATGGAAGGCAGCTATATGTAATATACTATACACATATATTTAACATATAGTTATCATACTTATAAAACTGGACCGCTTTGTCTATCATCTCACTGGTTGTGTAGTTCATTATGCTATATACATACTATGCTATATACATACTATCTTATGTAGTTCATTATACTATATACATACTATCATGTTACTGTCTTCCCTTTCTCCTTCTTACTGGGGTGTTTTAAAAATAAAAAAAATATTTCATCTCTATTTGGTAGGAAGGATAATGTCTACTTTGTATTAAGAGGTAAAAATGCTGTGGCTCTGACTTCATAAATCATATAAACTTTTTTCCTTTTTAAAGAAAATTTTTAATGTTTATTTATTTTTGAGAGAGAATCAGGGTAGGGGGCAGAGAGAGAAGGAGTCACAGAATGTGAAGCAGGCTCCAGGCTCTGAGCTGTCAGCGCAGCAACCAACGTAGGGTTCAAACTCACGATCTGCAAGATTGTGACCTGTGCTGAAGCCAGACGCTTAACTGACTGAGCCACCCAGGCACCCCTCATGCAAACTTTTATTCATTTAGTAAACATTTTTAAATACGTTTCTCTCCTCAGCAAAACCAGTTCAAAATATTATTATTTACTTATTTAATACCAAGGTAATATGTTTTAAAAATAGTATTTTACCTTTGACTGCTATTTAAAATTATTGGAATTAATTAATTTTTTAATGTTGAATGAGAAAGTACTTTGTACTAAAGTATTCAAATTCAGAAAAATGCCTCTGAAATATGTAAGCAACAGGTTAATACAAATAGTTGAACTCTGGGTTATTTCCAGTTAATACTCATTTCTGCTTTCTTCATAATGTATATTTTTAATGTTTAAGATTTAAAAAATCTATTTCCTTCATTTTTTATGTTTCTTTTTTGTGCAGATTACATCACATATAATTAGATCACTGCTGTAGTACCTGAGACTTTAATGATAATTATACCATTAAATTGATGATAATTTTCTACTAATTATGAAATCATCTACTAATTATGAAATCATCAAGAACACCAATAATCATTAGCTTTTATGGAATATCTAATAATTATTAGCTTTTATGGAATATATAGCTTTAATGGGAAGGATATGATCAGTTTTTGACTCAATTACTAAATTATTTTCAAATTATTACTGAGGTGTCAAAAGAAAAGCCAGCAGTAAACCTGAACCTTTGTCTTTGCAGAAACTATTCATATATCTTAGAAAGTGAACAGAGCACCTCATTTGTCCCCACATTTCATGCATGGTATGCATGGTTATCCATACCACCCCACCTTAATTTCCATCACTGAGTTGAGTAGTTTCCCCAATTTACCTACAGCAGATGTTTGTCTTGCTTACTATAGAATTGCTTTCATTTTAAATAAATATAAGCACTATATCAATAGTCATGTAATTCTTTTTTAATGCTTTCGAAAAAGGGAAGAAAAAATGAGCTAACTACATTAAATGAAAACTCCATACCTAACCAAAATCATTGAGAATGTTAGCAATGTGCGGGGCACAATGCATGAAAAAATTACTGTCAAACTCCAGCTAACCAGGAGTGCTATTAATGAGTATGCTGGAGAATTAACACATATGTCAGGAATAAAGCCCAGTGTTGACAATATGGTGGCTGTCATCCCTTTGTACTTTTCAGCTGCTCTCAAGCCATAGCAAACCAATTGACCCTAATAAGCCAAAACAGAATACTTAGTGGCATTCAAATTATTGTAACCTAAATGCAAATACACAGAGCATGAAATTATGCTTGTTGATTGTTGTTTGAATGTAGTAGTCAAAAAAATTTACTATCTACCTCTAGCAAACATACAGAATCCTTTTGAAATCCATGTGGGTTACATCAGTTTTTATGTGACTTTTCCTGTCATATATATTCTTATGCATCCAGCCAACATGTATTAAGCATCTATAAGGTTCCAGTCCTCCTCAAGAAGCTGGAATGTATTAAGCTAGAATAGGTCCTTGAATCTCATGGACTTCCTGCTCTGGTAGATGTAACTATGTAGACTTAACTCTATTTCCACATAGAGGAACTAAGTTGTCATTATTAGCTAGCACAGCTCTGTATAATAGAAAAGTAATAAGTTCATGTGTGTGTTTTAAATTTTCTAGCAGCGACATTAAAAAAGGCTAAAGGAAGCAGGTGAAATTAATTTTAATATATTTTGTTCAACTCTTCATATCCAAATTGTTATGATTATATTATGTAAGTAATAGAGTTATTATTGAGATATTTTACATTCCTTTTTTCACAGTAAATCTTCAAAATTAATTTCAATCGAACAATAGTGTAGAGACATTAATTAATTATTTGTAATACAGTAAATATACAGTTATGCATATATACGTATATATTTAATGAATGAGCTAGTTGCTGAGTTATGTATTTAGTTAGTTTTACACAATCACTAACCATATTACTAATATGTTATGTTTATGTTAAGATATTTAACAAAACCAATAGTTCTGTGTTGTGAGCATAATACATATTTATTTTTAGTGAATTAGAAACAAAGAATACTGTCCACATAGTTTGTAAAGTATGGTAAAAGTGATTTGGGGGAAATATTGACATTCTATAAAAATTGAAATAGGCATAAATTGACAGAGATCAACATTGCCAGAAGTAATAATGATATTATATGCTTAATAGCAAGAAATAACCTAAAGGTTGTATAATTTTCATATTCCCTTAGAGCTACCAGTGTGTGTGCTTAGCTGGTTGGGAAGGAGGTTTCTGTGAACAAGAATCCAATGACTGCAAAATGAATCCTTGTAAGAACAATTCCACCTGTACTGATCTTTATGATAGCTATCGGTGAGTAATGTAGTTATCATTTTCTTCATGAAATCACTTGGAGTGTTCAGTGTTCATGGGATAATTCCAAATATTATTTTCACTTTGTATCCGTTAATTAAAATAATGATCTCAAGATGAAGAGCGATTTTCTGACAAGATAGAGCCAACATTCATTCATTTGAAATTGTGTCAAAAGGTAATAAATAAAATTAAGCTTGGAATTGCAATGTCCAAATCTGGCCCCTATTACAAATGCCTTTACTTCTTCAAAACATGCTTTTGTCATCTCACTGTTGTTTTGTATTACTCCATGCAAAATAAGTGCCACAAATGACTTCCTAGTGAGTATATTGAATTAAAACTTTCAGTTCATTACCTACAGATAATCATGAATTTGGATTATTTTAGTCAAATTATTGATAAAATATGCATTATTTTGTCCACATTTTCCATAATCCAATTGTATTAGTTTTAGATGATAAATCTGAAGAAGCTCTAAATAGAAATTCTGAGTAGCTATTTCTATTATTCCAAATGTTTAATAACTGAATCTTTTACTCTTGTTAAAGTGCACAGTATAGAGAACTATGTACTAGGTCTCTCAAGCAAATGCAAAACCAGGTGTACTGTAACTAGAATGATTTTCTTCTTGTGGCAGAAGCAGATTAATTAAATATAAATATATTTAGATGATCATTTTCTCAGGGAGAAATCAAAATGATTTCAGAGCATCCTCTAAATAACTTGTACACTATTCCTCATTTTTGGTGACTGAAATGGGACATAAGATCCAGACTGATCAGCAGTAGACAGTTTATTTCATTTAAAGGCAATTCTGAAATATTCTGCCAATAGTTCGATTTCTATTTCAATCACAGTAAGAGAAAAAAATCACAATTTTGTTAACATAGGAAAAACTCACAGTGGCAGCAGTTGACATTAGTTTAAAATATGTAAAAATGTAAAAAAACAAAGTTACTTTTTGTGACATTATCAATTATTAAAACTGACATATCATCATAAATTAATATTAACTGCTTTTCCATCTATATAGTAGGAGAAACAATCAACTTTTGTTGAGCTAGGAAAGAAAAACTTCTCAGGGTACCTGGGTGGCTCAGTCTGTTAAGTATCCGACTTCGGCTCAGGTCATGGTCTCATGGTTTGTGGGTTTGAGCCCTGCATTGGGCTCTAGGCTCACAGCTAGCTCATAGCCTGGAGCCTGCTTCAGATTCTGTATCTCCCTCTCTCTCTGACCCTCCCCTGCTCATGCGCACTCTCTCTCTCTCAGAAATAAATAATAAAAAAATTTTTTTAAAGAAAAACTTCTCATAGTTTCTATGCTTATTTTACTTTTCTTAAATGACTCTATTTATATACTATATGTATATATATTTCAAAAATTCTGATAAATACTTTTTAGCATTTTGCTCTTTATGTAATTCCTAAAGATAATTTGTTTATACATTTTTGTATGTATGTATTCAGACTGTCAATCTCCTCCAGACAAGCACCAGCTGGAACACACCTATAGTTGAAAAAGTTGGGTATATAACTCATTGTCATAAGGGAGAACACACACCATTTAAATCCATGCAGCATCTCAGTTAAAGGATACTGGAAAGGACTTAGAGGTTTGAATTTGTGAAATATAACTTTGGGGAGGGTTTAAGAAAGTAGGCCTTTGGCCTGGATAAGGAGACTGTCAGGAAGTGGAAAGTATTACCTACATTCTTCTTACCTAGAAGAAAAGAAGACTGGACAGAAGTGAAAGCCAAAATTTCTTTTTATTCTTAGTTTATTGTCAAGTTGGCTTCCATATATCACCCAGTGCTCATCCCAACAAGTGCCCTCCCCCATGTCCATCACTCCCCTTCTTCTCTCCCCCACCCCCATCAGTCCTCAGTTTGTTCTCAGCATTCAAGAGTCTCTCATGGTTTGCCTCCCTCCCTCTCTCCAACTATTTTTCCCCTTCATCTCCCCCATAGTCCTCCATTAAGTTCCATTAATCCACCTATATGTGCAAACATATGGTATCTGTCCTCCTCTGCCTGAATTATTTCGCACAGCTTAACAACCTCAAGTTCCATCCATGTTGCTACACATGGCCAGATTTCATTGTTCCTCATTGCCATGTAGTATTCCATGGTATAGATGAACCACATCTTCTTGATCCATTCATCAGTTGATGGGCACTTAGGTTCTTTCCATGTTTTGGCTATTGAGAGTGCTGCTATGAACATTGGGGTCCATGTGCCCCTATGTATCAGAACTCCTGTATCCCTTGGGTAAATTCCTAGCAGTGCTATTGCTGGGTCATAGGGGAGTTCTTTTGTTAATTTTTTGAGGAACCTCCATACTAAAAGCCGAAATTTCTAAAGAAGCAGCAACCATTTATATCTACCATGATAGGAGAATGTTTGGCGATTCCTGTGGCTTAGATAGTGTTCAAGTTTTTGTTAGCATTTAGATATGATTGTGGGGCAGACTTGTCTTTGTAATGATTAACCATGGTAATGGAGTAACTTTGACTCATTTTGATGTCCTGTGAAATTGTCTGTTGAAACGTTCACCAAGGAACATCAAGATCTAACTATATACCTGCTTGTAGTGCCTGACCAGTTCCTCGGTACCCTAGATGTTAGTTTTTTCTTTCTCCTCCCCAAAATACATTATCATACAGACATGTGGAAAAAATATATATATGTATATGTGTATTTATGTGAAATATGTCACTTATGCTTGTCCACCTATTTGTCCAAAATACATTATTTTCATAATGTATATCAAATAGAATAAAAACTCAAATATTAACTTATTATCCAACATGATAGTTCTTTTATTTAGATAATTGCTATTTGCTATTTGAGGAAGACATCTTGAATATCTAAAAACAAGCACAAAGTTTATAAGACTTAATTAAAATACATTTTAATATTCATAAGACACAATCAGTCTTTCTAGATAACTTTGACACTACTAATTGTGAACTCTTAATGACTTAAATTTATAAGTGTTTTAGAAGACTTTGCCACTTAAATTAACACAGACTCACATAGTCATCTTATCATTCATCAGAATTTTGGTAGATTATACATTTTGGGCTTTGTTTTCTTTTCTTTTTCTAGTTTCTTAAGGTGAATGTTTCCATCATTAAGCTGAGTTCTCTGTTCTGTCTTAATACTGAGTTTACACCTGTAAATTTCACTCTAAGCACTGCTGTCATTTTATCTCATATTTTTATTGATATTTTGTGTATCTCAAAATATTTCTTAATTTCTCATGTGATTTATTCTTTGGCTCACTGTTTTTTTGGAAGTGTGTTGTTAAACTTATCTTATTTGTGAATTTACCAGGTTTCTTTTGATATTGATTTCTACTTTTATTGTGGAAAGAAAACTTATTTTGTGTGAGTTAAATCTTTTAAAATTTACTGAGGCATATATTATAGCCTAACATATGTTCTATATGTATTTGAAAAGACTGTGTATTTCACTTTAGCTGTAAACTTCTATAGGACTCTTTTAGGCCTAGCTGGTTTATATGTTGATCAAGTCTTCTGTATCTTTTGCCAATTTGTTCCATCCATTGTAGAGTTAAATTTTGCAATTGTTATTGCAAAATGCCATATCTTTAATATGCCATACCTTGCTTCATTGGCTTAAGTTAGATCTTAAGACTCTAAGATCTAATTGTTAGATCTTACTGATGGATTTAAATATTGATAAAATGTCCTTCTTTGCCTTGAGTAACATTGTTTTTTGCCTGATATTAGTATAGCTGTCTCTGCCCTTTTTTTTTTTTTATTACTAATGGCATAGTATATATTTTCTGAGTTTTTATTTTTAACCTATTTGTGACTTTGAATATAAAGCTTGTCTTTCATAAATAGGATATAATTTGACTGTTTTTAAAAATCCACTCTCAATATCTACCTTTATTGGACTGTCTACTTTGGTTACATTTAACATTACTAATGAAATAAAGTTTATATGTGTAGTTTCTTTTTTTTAAAAACATGTTGTATTTTTCTGCTGTTGTTGCTCCTCCTTTACTCCATTATTGCCTTCTCTTTTGTTAGTTTTTTTTTTTTCTGGTATTACACTTTAATTTCCTTTTAATTTTTACTTTGCAGTTGTTCTTAGTTTCTTAGTAGTTGTCTTATAGATTACAATTAACTTATTAACTTAAAACAGTCTCCATAGTATTAATAATGACTTAAATTTCAATAGTATACAAAAACTTTTGGGGCACCTGGATGGCTCAGTCAGTTAAGTGTCCAACTTCAGCTCAGGTCATGATCTCGCGGTTCATGGGTTTGAGCCCCGTGTCAGGCTTAGTTCTGACAGCTAGCTCAGAGCCTGGAGCCTGTTTTGGATTCTGTGTCTCCTTCTGTCTCTGACCCTCTCCTGCTCACACTGTCTCTTCTGTCTCTCTCAGAAATAAATAAAACATTAAAAAATTAAACTTTGCTCCATTGTTAATTTACTCCTTCCCACATCCTTCAAGCTTTTATTGATTAGAAGCCCATCAACACAATTTTATAGTATGCTTTATGCACTATTTTTAAAATCAGATAGGAAACAAAACAGAATAATCAAAAATACATTTATACTGTTTTTATACTTGCCTATATAGTTACCGTTACAGGTGCCCTTTATTTTAGTGTGTGATTTCAAATTACTGTCTAGTATCTTCTCATCTTAGCCTAAATGATTCTCTTTACTATTTCTTACAGGGCAGATCTGCTATTGATGAATTCTCTCGATTTTCTTTTATCTGGAATGTCTTTAGTTCTCCTTTAATTTAAGGTATAGCTTTAAGAGATGTAGAATTATTGGCTGACAGTCTTTTTCTTTCGGCATTTAAAGTATGTCTGGACTGCATGGTTTCTGATAAGTCAGTTAATCTTTTTGAAGGTCCCTTCTGCATAATGAATCATTTTCTCTTAATCCTGCTGAAATTCTCTCTTTGTCTTTTGACAGCTTGACTACCATATGATTAGTGTTTTATGTCTT